GGAACTAGAAGACCTAGTTATTCATGTGTGAGAAATGGTCTTGACAATCATCAAAAATTGATGTAAAATGACATCCAGAGTTCATGTAGTGTGCTGGTATGGCTTTATTGTGATTGAATAACCCTTGTTTTGGAACTATCAGTGTGGTCTATCAGGCAGGAATACTGAGCTACAAAACTTAGACAATACCATGTTATGTATCTGAAACGCTACTATGCTTGGTCAATTCACACTTATTGGAGATGTAATATAAAACCTGAATAAGCAGGTAGGGTTTTCCTGAGTCTGAAGACTGAAGCTGACTTGACAGGAGAATTAACTCTAAAGTTTAAATGACTGACATTTGGAGAATTTGCTGTGCATTAGTCTTAAAATCATTCCTTGGCCATGTTTAGGTTGACCTGTGGACTATAGTTAAATGCAATTTTGTCCTTTTTTCGCAGAATGAGTTTGACACCTGTGTTTGGAGCTGTGAAAGAAATACTCAGATAAGGAGTAAAACTTTCTAAAGTGCCCAAGTCACTTCCAGTGAAATTTGAGGAGTTTACAGTCCTATTCCCTTTCATTGTGATTTAGAAAATATAATAGGCATTCAGGAGCCTATTTTGAGAATTTAGATCTTCCATATAGTGACACTCATGCTTATTAAATAGCAGTTCTCCTTTAATTAGTTTATTAGAATTGTGTTAAAATGTTGGAATCTTTGATCTTCCTGGATGCAAAATTTGTATTTGCCTATCAGAATTTTGAGTAATAAAATTTTAAATCAGAATTTACAGTCTTATTTAGCTGACCTTTATAGCCTAATTATGTAAAGAACATGAACTAGTAAATTATGTTTAGACATAGATATTTCAAATACCTGACTGACTTTTTTATCTTTCACTTTGTAGCATTTGTACAACTCCGCAGCATTCAAGGCACGAACAAAAGCTAGAAGTAAATGTCGTGATAAAAGAACAGATGTGGGTGAATTTTTCTAGATCTTCCATCTGGGATCCAATGTTGAAGACTTTCATAATTTTCTATAAATGTAATTGAAACTTTGAAATCTGAGATTTAACTTATATATCCACATAGCTTAGACTTTATTACACAGGGATATATATCCAATGTATAGTATAGTATCTGTAATTGTGATGAATGTTAGAATTGCTTTAGTTGTGTATAAACCATGTGTGTATATAGCATCAGTTCACCTAAAATTGTGTGGAAATGTACCTTAACACTTGTGCTGGATCAAACTTACTCATGAATTTGAATATACTAACACTTACTAGTTAGCTGGTGCTGAAAACTGTATATGTTGAACTGCCATAACTGTCTGATATTGCTTATTTTGAATTAATACAATGATGAAATTACATAGAACAAGTAAAGGGACAAACTTGCCTCTGGAACTGCTATTTCTTTGCCCAATTATACCTTGTAATTTTAATACTTTTTTTAGACTGGCTGATGGACTAACAAATTGCACAATATATGACTTTACTATATTAAACCAGTGCTATAAAATCCTGCTGTGGGCACTTGAAGTTGTAAACCGCTCAAGTATACCAGACTACGTTGAAATTTAGAGTGGTGACACATTTTGCATATCTTTGTATAAGACTGTTCCATCATTGGAATAAAAATTTCTCTGAAGTGTTTTCAAATATGGTGGTTAGACAAGGTGTATAAAAGTAAATGAGGTCGGGTTTTTACCACTAAATGATGCATATACTAATGTAGCCAAAATATACATTGTGAAAGTAAGTTTCATGCAAAATTAGCTATTGAAGATTAAGTGCTCAAACTTGGTTATTGTGAAAGCTCAATTATAACTCTTTTTAGTCTTATGCTAAAAATTGTGTAACTTGTCAACTGGAGGATCATGGGGAACATCAGTAATCTCAACTACATGACTAACTTTTTTCTGTAACTTTGGTTCTAATAGTAACAGGACAGACACTTTATAAATTCCTACTCACAACAATACTGTGGAAACATCACTTATGATTATCAGCTTAAGTTTCCCTTATCACTTTTTGCTATAGTGTAACATATCTGTCCAAATGATCATTCAGTTAGATAAAAGCAAGTTTAACTAAATTCTGCCACAATTTTCCTTTTTTCCTTTTTTCCTTTTCAGTAAAAACTCTTACATAGGTCTTAGGGATTTTTTATGCTCCTCTTAAGGTACATCTAGACTACAGGCTTTTGTCAACAGATACTGTCGTCAAAGCTTCTGTTAGTGTGTCTTTCTTGGTTCAGAAAACCAACACATTTGGAAACTTCTACAAAATTGCATTTTTGTGAGAAGGTTGAAATAAAGAATATTTTAAGAAGATGGTAAACTTAAATTGGCTGGAAAAGGATGGCACCTTGCATCCAGAGCCATTCATCAGTGCATGAGAACTTGGTTTTAGTAGGTGTCCACATTACAACTTTAGATATTTGTGTCAGATGCAGGGAAGATTTGGGTGAATGAAGTTTTTTTAAAGTGTTTGCCTGCTAACACAAGTTTCCGAAGAATTTCTGAGTAGTCATGGTAGCCAGTCTTTAAAATAAATTGTATGTAGACTTAACTGGTTAAGGCAGGGGCTGGCAGTTTTTGAACAAGGGCCACTTCAGAAAATTGGAGGGGTCACAGGCTGCCTGACAGGGGTAGGGCCTTAAACAGAAGGGGGTGGGTCTTCAGCAGAAGTTTAAAGGGCTCACTCCTGCTCTGTGGCTTCCAGCCATGTTACTAGGGGACGGGAGCTGCAAGCCCTTTCACTTCCTGCTATTTAAAGGGCTTATTGCTCTTGGCCTTGCTGCTAGTGTGTTGCCTGGGAAACTGGGATGCTAGAGCCCTTTCAACTGCTTCCATTTAAAGGGCTCGCACCTTCTCCATGCCTATCAGGCAATGCATTGCCCGGTAGCTGTGGGGAAGGCATAAGCTCTTTAAATAGAAGCTAAGGGCTTGTGTGTCAGGCACCTAGGAAATGTTAGCGGTGGGGCCTGGAACTGCTGGGCGCGGAGGGGTGATGCATCAAAGCCCTAGGCAGGCCAGATCCAGCTCAGAAGCTTTTGCCTACACCTGTCTTAAGTGCTCTAAGTCATTGTCAGTAATGACACTAAATAGTCTATTAAAGCCTTCCTGGCAGTAATCCTGTCTAGCAGCCAATGCTAGATTAATAGAACTTTACTAATTATTTTGTGGTAAATGTAGTACCACCTCCTGATCCACTTATGCCCCAAAACAGGCAAGTGGGTATTCTTAATACTCTTCCTTCCATAACTGCAGCTACTATTTTTGATTATTTAATTTTACTGAGCAATTTGAGTGCTACAGCATAGTTATTCATTATAAATAGTAGCATGGATTTGTCAAGAACAAATTGTTAAATCAGCATAAAAGTAATGTCTGCCATTATCATGAGCTAGAGAAATAAAACCTAAATGGAGGTAGCTAGAGTGGCTTAACTGCTTGCAAAGCCAATCCTAGAGTGGTGTGCAGTCATACAGGGAGAGCGTTGTGAATGGGGTACTCCTAGGCTCAGTTCTGGGCCCAGTTCTGTTCAATATTCTCAATGATTTAGATGAGAGTATCAAACACTTGTGGATGATACAAATCAGGGAGGAGTTAAAAGTGCTTGCAGGACAGGATAAACATTCAAAATGATCTGGATTAAAATTCAGTCAGGATAAATGAAAAGTGCTCCACTTGGGAAGGAACAATCAGTTTCACATATACAACATGGGAAATGACTGTCTAGGAAAGCGTATGGAGGAAATGGGTCTGTGGATCCTAAGCTACACATGAATCAATGGTATACCAATGCAAAAATAAAAGTGGCAAACAATTCTGGGCTGCATTAGCAGGAGTGTTGTAAGCAAGACACACAAACTTACTCTGGGCCGAATAGGCCTGAACTGGAGTATTGTCCAGTTCTGGAAAGATATGGATAAATTAAAGAAAATGTAGAGCACAACAAAAATGAGTAAAGATGTAGAAACATGACTGAGGGAAATTAGAAAAAAATGGGTTTATTTAGTCTGGTGCAGAGTTGAGAGAGGACATAATAGTTTTCAAGTACTTAAAAGGTAGTTATGAGGAGGTGGGAGAAAATTTGTTCTTAGTTTCTGATGATAGGACAAGAAGCAATGAGCTTACATTGCAGCAAGGATGGTTTAGGTGGGACATTAGGAAAAATTTCCTGTCAGAGTGGTTAATCCCTGGAATAAATTTTGTAGGGAGGTTGTGGAATCTGCATAATTGAGGCCATGTCTACACTGCTCCCTCTTGTGCAAAAAAATGCAAAGGAGGTGAAGTGTGGAATATGGCTGTGTCATTTGCATAATTAATGAGGCTACATTTTTGCACAGAAAGGAGTGGTCTACACTGCTCCTTGTGCATAAATTCCTTCTTGCGCAAGAGTCGTTCTTTCACACTTTTTTCAGGAAGAACAGCTCTTGCGCAAGAGGGTGTTTTTGCGCAAAAAGGAGCTGTGTAGATTACTCCTTTTTGTGCAAAAGCGTCTTGTGCAAAAATGGAGCCTTATTAATTATGCAAATGAGGCATGGTGATAGTCCATGCTTCATTTCATTTGCATATTTCTTGCGCCAAACAGGCGCAGTATAGACATAGCCTGAATGTTTTAAGAGCAGGTTAAATAAATATTCAGAGATGGTCTAGAGCAGGGCTACTCAACACACAGCCCATTTATGGACTGCGGTATGGCTTGGGTTTATGGAGGGCTCAACAGGCACCCCACGTGTAGGAACCAAAACAAAAAAATAGTCAATATAATGGTCTTCTGTTGATATGTGTTTCAGTAGTTAAATTCCTGGACTGTCATTGCTCATAAAAAGTGATGTCATATATGTGGAAATTGGGTAAATATTGCATTTTATTAATATCAGCAGAACTGACTTAATCTTTGTATTCATACTATCAATGTGAAAGAAGCTATTTGTATATATTTGCGTGTACATTCAACCACACTTGAGCTGTGGCCTTCAGCATGTACTGAGAATATCATTGTGGCCCTTAGGACTTCCAGAGTTGAATAGCCCTGGTCTAGAAAATAGCGTAATTTAAATCAACATAGCTTAGATATGCTTATCCTGGGGTCCACACTACACTATGTCGATGGCAGACTCTCTTATCGACTCCCCTTACTCAACTCTGGTGGAGTACTAGAGTTGATGGGTGCGGTCTGCAGTTGATTTAGTGGGTCTTCACTGGACCCTCTAAACTGATCTCTGATGCACTGATTGCCACAGCATTGATCCCTAGAGTCCTGCACGGATACAAAAATGAGCTGTGGATATAAAGCAGATTTGGAGGTGTCTATTGATCCCCTGTTAGGCTACATCTACACTACGAGTTTTCTCTGCAAAAATATGCTAATGAGGGACTCATTTGCATGAGTCACCATCTCATTTGCATATTTTCTGCCGATCAGTTTTTGCACAAAAACAAGCAGTGTGGACGTTTTCTTTTTGTGTAAAAAACGCTTTTTCTGCAAGATTGGTATGCCCCCTTTTTTGGGGCATAAGGATCTTGTGGAAAAAGGGATTTTTGCGCACAAAGAAAATGTCCACGCTGCTTGTTTTTGCACAAAAATGCCAGTGCAAAAATGGATCGGCAGAAAATATGCAAATGAGATGGTGACTCATGCAAATGAGTCCCTCATTAATGTAAGTCCTAAATCCTGCTTGGAGTGTAGGGCACTGCACTACATGACGTCTCGAGGTCCCTTCCACTCTTACAATTCTGTGATTACACACTTGTTTGTTGCCTTTAGTTCCATTTGCCTTGATTGTTAGAGAATGTCTTCTGATTTTTCACATTTGTTATGCTCAGATTCAGCAATTATGTGGTTTTGGCACTTGACATGACCAAAGTTTCACACTGAAGAGGCAGACTATCATGTAATGGTATAGAAATCTGGGACTGTTCCATAGATAACTATGTGAGCATATTTTCGTTTTGTATTAGCAGCGGTTAAATAAACCGCTTGTGTGGCAGCGGTTAAATAAACACGATCAGTAATATTAATTGGATAAATGGAAATTTGTATTGTAGGTATTTACACATATTCTTAATAACAGAAACATCTGTTAGAATTGTTTTTACGGAGTACTCCATTTATCTTCATAATAAAGTGATTTTAAAGGGATGGAATTTGTGTATTTTAAGATGTCTAAATATTTCATTAACTAAAATATTGTTTTGATTTGTTTATCGAGCCTGAGTTTTAAAGTCACACAATGCAAAAGATTAGTAAAATGATACATGTAAAAAACATATGCTAAAACTCGCCATATTAACAGTAAATATTAAAATTTTATAGTGACTCTAGTCTAATAAGTGAACTGTGTGTGTGTTTTAAATAGGTTAGTATTTGGAAACCAGACTACTTGGCCAAAATGAATGCTAAATATAGACTGAAAGAGTCAGTTTCATAGCAGTGTTTATGGATCCTGTGGGAGTTTACAGGGTCTAAAAGTGAGGGGAGAGGGAATTACAAAGCATGTTTTCTTCTCATACTTGATACTAGATGACTTCTATCCTGAATTTTTAACTGAATATGTTAAATTGTAAGTAATTCATACTTCAGTCTAATGTTTTGCTAATCCATTTAGACTTGATTTTATTCTTTAAGAATTTGTAGGCACTTGTTTTACAAAGTGGTAACATCACCAAAAGTCACTTATCACAACTTAATTCTTTTAAAGTTATTGTAATGTTCATAAGGTGGTGGCCTTTAAGCAGTATTAAAATATAAATTAGAATGACTAATTTAAAAGCTATGAGGGTTAGCATAGCCCGGTTGTGAAATTAATTAATAGGAAGCCAGTGACGCTGATATCTGTGTTCATGTTTGTTTCAAGGTGCTGATGTAGAAATAAACTATACAAGAATTCACAGGATGCTGTTTTTAATCATTGAGAAATGTGTACATTGGGGAAATTGGTTCTAAATATTTAATTACAAAAATCTACAACTTGTGAATTTAACACGTCTAAAACTATCAAATCAGTTACTTACATTAGAGCTCAAGTGTTTAGAAGAGTCTTCCTTAAAGTTGTTGCAAGAAAGTGTTAACCAAAATGGAAAATGTTCAGGAGAAACAACTGTCCTTCTGAAGCTAAAAATAGCAGGAGGTCTTGTGTGTTAGAGATGGCTAATCTGTGGAAAGCTGCATAACTACGTCCCGTAAGAAGTATGACTGCCATGAATGTGGTCATGGAGATTCCCAAGACAGTAATGATAGAACCACTAGAATTTGTTAAATTATACATTCTAGTGGATAGAACCTATCTATCCTGAAATTACTGCTGCATATATAAAAATCTACTGAACGGTTGCAATTCTAGTTTTCCCACCTTATTTTTGTATTTTTTCAGCAACACCTCAGAATGAAAAAATAAAAAGGGGTTGTACTCATTTTCATATCATTTACCCTAAATTGAATAAAGACCGTATTCTTTCTTTGGCTGTCTTATTTTCCCTTATTAATTCTAGTCCCCTTTTCAAAAGCACCTTAGCAAAGTAGGAGTCTCACTGAATAGTTATTAGGCTGTGTCACCAAGTTTGGGAGAAACATTGAGCAGCAGCATGATTTGGCATGATGCTATGAGTACCTGCTGCTGCATGTGCCTGACAGGAAACAGCCCCTAGTTTCCAAAGGCACTTATTAAAGTGTTGGTACAGAGGAAACCTGCTTTTCATGATGTAATACTATAGAAAGGGTGAATAAAAAAAACATGCCAGTTGAGTTTGGTAACAGCTCACCAGAGAAGCTATTCAGGCAGCTAAATCCTTTCTAGTTCTTTCTTAATGGTGAGGGAAATAAGAGTATGTCTACGCTGCATTGTTTTTTTGGAAAAATTGCCATTTTTCTGAAAAAACCTTCACTTACGTCCACACTGCAGTCACGTTTTTTCAAAAAAAATTGAAAGTAGAGAGGGGATTTTCTGACATTAGTAAACCTCTTTCTACGAGGAAAAAGTCTTTTTCCAAAAGAGCTCTTTTGGAAAAAGGTGCATTGTGGACGGGGAAGAAGGAGTTCTTTCGAAAAAAGAGGAAAAAGCACAGGTGATCTGTTGGCCACTTTGTCCATAGTAATCACAGCTTAATGCGAGATAGCATCCATTCAGTGTGGATGCTATCTTTTGAAAAAGCAGATCGCTTTTTTGCTGTGCTTTTGCTGTGCAGACGCTGTCTTTCGGAAGAAGTTTTTTAGGAAGATCTCTTCCAGAAAAGCTTCTTCTGAAGGAACCCTGCAGTCTAGAAATAGCCTAAGAGGTTTTTATTCTCTATAATGACTTCAGAAGGGGCTAACATAGCAGCCTCCTTGGGGCTCTGATAGCAGCAGTTTCAAATTCCCTATTAACAGAGAGAGAGCTGGCGCTTCACACCGCTGAGTGTTTCAAAACTGGTAAGTAATCCACTCACCTTTGGAATGGTACAGATATATGCAACTTTTTCAAATTAGATCCTGTGTGTCAACCAAAACTATAGTAAGGAAAGAAGGGCTATTACAGCAAGCTACACCTTTTTGCTGACAACCCTGCCCCAACCACAGTCACTTGTTTATCCAAGAAAAAACAAGCCTCAGTGGTACATCAATATTTATAAGCAAATTAATGAGTATCATTGTAATTCTCTCCATTCCCCTACCTCTGTTATGTCATATCATATCCCTAGTACTTAGATTGTTAGATACTCAAGGGAGAGACTAGGGGTATGTCTACACTGTAGAGCTATTTCGGGATACCAGAGGCTATTTCGGGATACACAAGCTGCCCATTATTTCAAAATATTTTTTGAAATAATGGGCATGCTATTTTGCCATCTCAGTAAACCTCATTGCACGAGGGATAAGGGATGGCTCAAAATAGCGTGTTATTTCAAAAATTGGTGCTGCGTAGATGTGCCAAATTTCGAAATAGCCTATTTCGAAATAAGATACATAATTTGTGTAGCACAAATCCTGTATCTTATTTTGAGTTTAGGGTGCTGTGTAGACGCACCCTATATCAGGGGTCTCCAACCTTTTTAAGCATAAGATCACTTTTTGAATTTAAGTCAATCCAGGATCTACCTCAAACCCAAATACCCCTGCCCCACCTCTTCGCCAAGGCCCCACCCTCCTCTGTGAAGATAGGTTACAGGGAAGGGGGACAGAGTGACATTAACATCCCCAGCCTCAGTCTCCTGCACTCTGTACAACAAGCAGAAGGTTCCCAGGAGTCAGCTCTGAGGCTCTGGGCAGGAGCATCAGGGCAGTATGTTCTGAAGATATCAATCTCTGCTTTGAGGTTTACAGAGGAGAGGCACCATATAACTACAGCAAACATAAAATGGTAAAATCAATAACTTCTAGGATGTATTATCCTGCCATCACTGAAGTCAATCACACTTTTGCCATTGGCTTCAATAGTTGCAGGATTTCACCCTGTTTTACTGGTCTGTAAAGTACCTTCCAGGCTTTGGATGTTATACAAATAAGTAATAATTTACACCTGAATCAATGCAGGAGCTAGAAAGATGGAAGTTTACTGCAAGATTCAGATGTGGCAATGAACTTTCAAATGTGGAGATCTTGAATAATAAAGTAGAAAGGTTAGCTAGTGAGTTGCTCGCAGCTCATTTTGGTCCAATCCTGAAAGGTGCTGAGTGTCTCTATAAAATGTCTCCTATCATTCTCAACTCCCTCTTACTTTAATGAGAGATAAGGGAACTGAGCACTTCCCAGGATCAATTTCCACGTTTTCTTTTAGGTACAATGGAGAGTTCTTCTCTGGAAATTGACTTACTGGATACCAGTGAAGAAGGAAAACTTTATGTCGTTGATTCTTTAAATAATCTAAACAAACTGCATCTGTGTTCTGATGGATCTCAACACCTGTTAAGTATGTATGCCAGATAATGCTTGTCAACTATTCTCAATGTACTCTAGGTCAAAAGAAAAAAAAGAAAGAGAAAAGAAACTAACATACAGATGTATTTGACAATTTAAACTAATGTGTATCATTCTGGGATTTATTTTCCATAGAAATACATGTGCTACTTTTTAAAGAAAATGAGCCATATTTGCAGCTGGTGTAATTCCAAATAGTGTATTTCCACTGATGTCAACAGTACAATGTCAATTTACAACCTCTAAGGATCTGGCCCAATAAGTGCACTTCAACTCAGGCTTTAAAAGGAAATTGAATTCTGATAACAGAGAGCTATAACAAAAACACCCAATTCAGCTAGAATCTTACACAGAACACATCAGATCAGTGATCTTAATACTCGGGTAACCTCTCTACAACAATTGCTAGTATGAGATTCTTCTTGGTGGCATCTGTAGCATAGCTAAGGATTCTCTGTGGAAACTGAACTATCCTTTCATGCCTATTTGGGCCATTCACATCTTATCTGAGGTACATTGTAGGAAGCCTGTGCCATCATTCCCAATATGTATCCATTCTGGGAATAAAAATGACCTTTCTTCTGTCTGGCACTTTTCACAATTACTAAAATACACATAAAAGCTTAAAAGAAAAAAAAACCAAGAGGCAACTAAAATTATTTTGATCCTGTATTTGTTTTTATGGAATCCTCTGATGATCCGAGACAGTTTCCTAAGGTATTCGATTAACCTTCCTTTGATCCTAATTCAGGGAATTTACTTCAAACAGATTCAGAATTGTACTATCCTCCTGATTTTACTGTTTTTATGCATTTTATCTTTGTCTCACACGTGACAGCAAGATTATTTTTAGCTAGCGATATTTGAAATGTTTTTGACTCTTGTGATCTGAAAGAAATTTAGAAGCAGCAGTTTCTTGGCAGAATTCCACATTATGGTATTTAAGTAGGTACAATATTCTATAGTTTTTCTCCTTAGTTTAGCAGCACAATTTGTACTTTTAAAATTTAGCTGAAGAATATTCGTACAGTAAGAGTCATAATCAAAGAGGCTTCAAATAGAACAAAAATGCAGTGACCCACTCCACCACCGCCTTTACTGATTTTATACATGTATAGATAATGCTGAAAGAAATGTCATTGGCGACACTGGTTCTTAGATGCAAGACAAATTAGAAAGATATCAATATCTTAGCTCAGGGGTGGGGAACCTTGTTTGGGTCATGAGCCACTGACCCACAATAAAATCAGTTGGGTGCCGCACACAAGTGAGAAGCAAAAAAAACCCAAGACAAACCCTCACTGATGTGGCCCCAGCTGAGAAGGAGAATGACACATCCCCACATTCCCCTCATACACCAGACCCTACAGGGACTTAGACTAGTAGATTGTTTGCCCCAGCCCTGTGGTGGAGTTTTGGGGGGGGGCAGGAGTGCCAGGATGGGCTCCTCAATGATGTGGGAGGCCTGGAGCCTTGGGGGCTGGATCCAGGTAAGCTGGGGGCTGCATTCAGGCCCTGGGCCTTAAGTTCCCCACTTGTCTTAGCCCATGGTTGTGGGGGGCGGGAGTGCCAGGATGGGCTCCTCAGTGATGTGGGAGGCCCGGAGCTGCATCTTTCAGCTGACTCTGTTTCTGAGTCCTCTAATTTTTCTGATGCTAATGACTATAGAGGTGCAGCTGCCAGACACAACAAAGATCCCATATTGAAAATGATAGAAATCTGCCATATTATTGTCTTATGTAGGCCACTTGTCATTTGAACAAGAACAATGAATGCATCAGTGCTACTGTCAGATCATTTCTGTTTTGCCTACTTAGATTCTCCCTATAATTTTAATGGGTGTTATTCTTCATTTCTGGACTCCAGGTGCTTGTAAACAATTACCTACAGGTTCTAGCATTTCAGCAGAAAATGACAGCAGAGCTATGTGTAGTTCATAAAGCAATTTGGCTCTTTCTCTATAATATTTTTAGAAGTTTCTTTAATGTTTGGAGTTTTATGAAAGTATCTTGCCCTCACACCAGTATAATATATTCAAAGAGACTGCACTATTTAGCATCCTCAGCTGCTGTACCAAGAAACATGTTACATTCTGGATCTCTTTGTTACAGAACTATTAAGATAATAGAATCATAGGATGGGAAGGAACCTTCACATCTAGTCCTGTCCCCTGTACTGAGGCAGGACTTAATATTATCTAGGCCATCCCTGACAGGTATTTATCTAACCTGTTCTTAAAAATCTCCAATGATGGAGATTCCATAACCTTCTCAGGTAATTTGTTCTACTACCCTTACAATCAGGATTTCCCCCCTAAAGTCATCCTAAATCTCCTTTGCTGCAGTTTAAGCCCATTACTCCTTGTCCTGCCCTTAATGGTTAAAGAGAATAATTCATCCTCCTCCTTTTTATAACAACCTTTTACACACTTGGAGTGTTGTCATGTTCTCCTCTTCTTTTTTACGGACTAAACTAACCCAGTTTTTTCAATCTTTCCTCTGAAGTCATGTTTTCTAGGCCTTGAATCCCTTTTGTTACCCTCTTTTGAACTTTCTCCATTTTTCCTTATCTTGTGCACTCACCATGTAGTAGCTTTATCTAGCTATATTTCCCTGGTTTATTTATGAACAGGTCATGTGAGATGGTATCAAAAGCCTTATGCAAGTCAAGCTATACCATATCCGCTGCTTCCACCTTTGTCCCTGGATTGTGTGAGCATTTTCCATCCTCTGGTAATCATTAAAAATGCATGGGACAATGCTACCATTTTCTATGGAAAATACCAGATCTGAGTTTAAAAAAAAAAAGATGTTTCAACATTGCTTGTGATGCAGTATGCATGACTTTTCTTTAGCTCAGTGGCTTAATATGACCTGACATCACCAAATCCAAGGCAACACATTAGCCATAATTTTAAAGCAGTTTTCTAAAATAAAAGGCTTCTAATTTTGGTAGGTGCACCATACCAATTACTTTTTGCTTCACAACATAAAATGTCCTCATTGTTTTCAGCTTGGCAGGAATCCTTGTTCACTGGTTGCTTACAATAGCGTAAGTTGGCACATTTGGCCAGTTGGTTAGTATGAAGCATTCATTAGACAGAACAGACAAGTGGCATTTATGAGAACTCTATTGATAGCTTGCAATGCATGAGAGACCATGAAAGCAGCTCTCCTGTCATTATTATTCTGGCTAGCAAGCAGTATCTGTGGCAGTGGCATTTAGTACAAATTTGATTTTTTACGAAGGCTGAGGGCAAGAGGATACACCCCCCCCCCCCCCAAATATTAAAAAGCTGCAGGCTTTACCTTATCCACAGGCAGGAACACATTAAATGTAATAAAGGACAGCAAAAATACTCCCCGGGATCTCTGACTAGTTCAGTGAACTCCTGAACCCCATGTCTACTCATTATTAAAGTGCTGTTACAGCACACACAATTCTTTCCCTTCTTTATCATCATCAGCTTAGCTGCAAAACCCCACGAGTCTTACAACTTCAACACCACACTGATAGAAACCTGGGAAGACATTTTTCATAGCAGATTGTCATATGCAGCTGTGATTTCTGTCCCAGTTTTAGGGTAACCCCATTTTAACCTCTCCTCTGTGGACTGCCCATGCTAGTCTCAAGCCTCTAGTCTTTCCCTCTCTATGAGCAGAGACCAACATCCATCCTCTTTCCAACCTGGGATTTTAGACAGTGGACCATAGATTCCCAGGCCAGAGAGAGTCATTGTGATCACCTAATTTGACCTGTATAGCATAGGCTACAGAATTTCCCCAAAAGGTTTCCTAGGGCAAATGCTGCTCAAATGTGAAACTGAGGTACACTCAAAACTCTCAGTTGTGCTCAAGAACTCTAAAAAGGATTCAGATCCTGTTCCCACTATCTTCCCTACTCCTTCACCATATCCACCCCACACTTAACTGTTTTGTTTTTCAAGAGAGACCTGTCCTGTCACCCACTAAAGTTCCTAAATAGCAACAAGCTGGCTTGCCTCACAAATTTCAGTGAAGGAATACCTAACTGGTTGTCCTTTAGTGCACAGTCTTGCACCTTGAGGAGGGGCGGAAAGTGATTATACCTCTCACCCGCTGCCACACGTACTTAGTTGTATATACTAAATCTGGCTGGAGAAGGACCATTCCATTTCATGATAACTTTTCAGGCCTCAGATATTGTTTTCAATTTGCATAGGAACAAACCAAAACATTCCAAATGTTTTCACAAAAGAGAGTTGTGTGGGCTATTTGTGGATCAAATGGCTATTTGCGGATCCAAAAATGTTAGCTTTTTATTTGGGTCTCCCATTCTCTGTTTTCCTGGAAGTGCCAGGAAAGTCTTGGCTGACAAAAACTTCACCAAACTCCATACATCTTCATTTTAGTGAAACAGTATATTTAAAGAAAATGTCCCAACAAGCTCTAATATAGTCTAATGTCCAGTTCTGCCCATTCAGGGAAAGTAAAACGGGGGTTTTCCCTTCTCGTGCCATATTGTAAGAGATAAGGGTTCTGCAGGCCAAATTAGATTCTCAGCCTGTGCAGGCCCATTGATATCAGCAGAGTTGCAGAGCTGGTCAGGTGATGATTCCCAATTTGGAAAGGAGTGTTGTTCATTCTCCCTTAGCTGTATGGCTCTGTCGGTATCAGAGTGAAAAGCAGCAAAATATCTTTGTCACTAAAGTGAGCTGTTATAACCCTGCCTGCATAAAGGGAGTGAATCTGTTAAGCAAGCATTGCCCTTTTTGGAGCAGGACTGCAATTTAACTGGAAACAGTTCACAGTTTTAATAACATGGTGCCTGTCTCCAGCTTAGAAACAGAAATGGACCCAAGTCATAAAGGTTGGACTTGGCTCTGAATGTTCCCAAAGTTTGGGTGTATTCTGGCTTCTCTTTACTTAGCACTAGAGGCTTTTTGTTAATTGTTTTCCTAATAATCTCCAATCAATTTCTTAGCAGAATATTATTTTCATTCCATAGGAACGCAGGAGGAAGAGAACACTGGCAGTTTGATGACATGGAGTAGCATGAGAAGCCAACATTTGTTCTTCGTCATACTGATAATTATTTTGATTGTCAGTTTGGTGCTTGTTTCATTTGTAATATTCTTAATAAGTAAGTATAACACACCATGCTTCTTATAAATAATTTGGTCAGTCAAAGGAAGGAAGTGTTGGAATAGCTATGGGGGGGTTCCATTGTAACATGCTATCGTAACACCTGGATTGATAATTGGCATTAGGCATTGAATCTGGGGAACTTCTGGATCTAAAAGCATGAGCTTCTAGTTCAGTGGTTCTCAACCTATTTAACATTGTTGGCTGTATATGCATCCCGTACACCTGTATGGCCCTAAGAATGTCACATGAGCACAACTCTGCTGATTCAGCCACAATGGCTTGTGGGATGCAGGTTGAGACCGCTGTTCTAATCCTTGAGCTAAGGAGACCAGAAGCTACATCTGAGATTTCAGACTTACAAGCCTCTCTGCTCCAACTACTGGCGTGGGACAGAAAGCCACACTATGTGAACAGGAGCTACACTACTGTATTGGATCATTTAAATATGTTGCAGTTAAAATGGCTCTGCAAACAAAAACATGGATAGCTGGTGTCCCAAGATGGGAGAGTTAGATACCTCCTGAAATGTGAAGTGACAGATGTTCACTGGAACATGTCTTAGATTTGACACCCAGGCCAGAGAATTATTCAGACCTGCTTTCTTACCCCCAAAACAAGAACACGGGTAGCTCTCTCCATAGCACTGCACCACTGTGATCCTAGAACGCATTCTCTCAGGACAAGGGGTAGAAGTTAATTAAGCTAAAAATGTCTTGTAGAGGGGCTGCTGCTGTGTGCCAACTTAAGCAAAGCTGGCAGGGCAACCTTTAAAAAGTTTGCTTTTCATGCTACTTCATCAGCCAAGCCCAGCAGCAGACTATCAGTGTGGCCCAGACCTTAAAGGAGGATTTTAAACAACCTGCGTTTAATCTTGAAGTGATAAGAACAGTTATTTGAAATATACCTCAGCAATGCTGTGTTGTAGTTCAGGAGTGGGGAACCTAAGGCCCAGGGGCCAGATGCAGTGCCCAGCTTGCCTGAATCTGGCTGCCAGGCTCCTCCCTCCCTCCCACAGTGGGGAGCTTATGCTGGCACTCCAGCCCCAGCTGCCTCCTGCGTGACTGATTTTCCTGTGGGTCAGAGGCCCCTGAGCCAAAAAAGGTTCCTCGCCCCTGCCATAGTGCCTGGAAATGTTTGTAACGCAGAATGCTTTGTTTTCAAGATGATTGTACTGCTGGGACATGTTTTGAAAACATCTTTTTTCTTTTCTTCTCCAGAATTTTTTTCCTTGTGTAAGGCTGATGGAGTAACATGTAGGGTGAATTTAGCTCAGTTGCCATGGAGATAGTTTAGTCTGAGGGCTTCAGGTTCCAGAGCTAAGAGGAAATAATCTGGTGCAAAGAATTCCCCAAACAAAAAGAGCCTGAAAAAAAAATCAGATGTGATCTCAGAATTGACTAACAGCAACACCTCGGTAAAGATAATTATCTGTTTGTAAGGTCAGTAATGCTGCCTAGCCAACAGCCACAGGCTACCCTTGAATCATTGCTCATGCTGGTGTTAGATAAGAATGGGTGGTTCTGCTAATGTTGCTCAGGATACTGGGGGAATGAGCCCTTGGGGCCTTTTGCCAGGAGGATGTTTCCCCTAAGTTGTGGCTCTAGCTAGATAGAGCATGTTACATGTTCCTCACTCTCTTTTTAACCAGAAACTTTCATCCATTCTTTCCTGAGCTGTCTACACTAATGCCATTTCTGGACTCATAACAGAGCCTGTTGGCAAAGCAGTCTTGGATTGTTAGGCTGCATCTACACGGCACCCTTAGCTTGAAATAAGCTACATGATTTGTGTTATCCAAATTGTGTAACTTATTTCAATGCTATTTTGAAATAGCTTATTTCATAATTTGGCGCTATCTACACAGCACTAAATTTTGAAATGACTCACTATTCTGAAATTCCCCATAACCCTCACGGAATGAGGCGTACCAGAATGTTGGAATAAGAAGCCTATTATTTCAAAATCTATTTTGAAATAGAGGGTTGCTTCAATAGATGCGGAATAGCTATTTTGGGATACTTCTGGTATCTTGAAATAGCTCCAGAGTGTGGATGTACCCTTAGGGAAGTAAAGGCTGCACAGGGGATCTTCGTACCTGAGAAGCCCTTATTAAATTGCTTTACAATGACCCCAAATTTGCTTAACAGGAAGTGTCACTGTTGCAAGTTTTGGCTTTATATTATGTATAACTGAATGAATAATATTGCTGTGTAGTGATTAGGTAGCAAAGAGGGTAAGGGATCCACTAATATAATTAATTATGGGCAGTCTATTTGAACCCAAAGTGGGTAGCAGCCTGCGTTTTGGGAGCTGAAGTGCCACGGTTTTTCTCCCAGTCATGAGTTCAATCTAGTGTTATGTCTGCAATCTCCAGACATAGGTTCATCAAGGATTGGCAGCTTGCTGTTGAATTAAAGCTCCTATCAAACTCAGAACCTTGGGGAAAGTTTTGTCTAATTAGAGAAGGCCCAAGTACATAATGTATTGGCTTGACTGGAGTTATATCTAACTATAAATGAAGTGGATGTAAATCTGTGCAGTGTTAAGCGCTGAAAGATTTATCCCTAGGTCTGGTCATAAAACATTCATAAACCCTTTCAGGCACAATCACTAAATAAATCACAGAGATTTAGGACTAGAACCAGAACCCTTCATTTCCCCAAACATAGTTCTCTACCATCTGAGTTAAAAGAGAACTCCTGTATCTCTCCATCTAGATATCTAGAAAAAGTGAAGCCAGTACTTTATATCTTTGGGACATCTTTAGGTAGACAAAACTTTCTACAAGGTTTTGAGTGTGTGTGTGTGTGTGTGTGTGTGTGTATATTAATCCTAAGAGTAGTAGGAGTTCTCTTTTAACTCAGATGGTAGAGACCTATATTTGGGGAAATGAAAGGTTCTGGTTCCAGTCCTAAGTCTCTGTGATTTATTTAGTGATTGTGCCCGAAGGGGCAAATGAATGTTTTGTGACTAGACGTAGGGATAAATCTTTCAGCGCTCAAATAAGAACATTTTCTATGGATGGAAAGGAGAAGATTGCCCACCTTAAAGAGTATATGTGCAGCTTCTTAACCAGTATATTTTCTGCATTATACTCAGAGGTGAAAGTAAGAGACTGTGCCCTGGTGCGTAGCTCCAGCGAGAGCTGGCTGAGCTGTGGCAAAAGCCAGCAGGGAGCTATTTAAAGAGCTGGCAGGGACCCAGATTGCAATAGAACAGAACCTGTACAAAATTTTAAGTTACTTTCACCGCTGATTGTACTATACTAGATTGAAAAACAAAAATCAGTTGTGAAAGAATTCAGTCAGATCATGACTGCTCAGCACACAACCTTTTCCAACTAGGTTTCTGAACCTGTCATCTTGTTATGTCTTTGAGCAGAATACATTCCATTCCATTTCCCACAAGAATGCACCAAGTCACAATGCTCCAATTGGTTTATATGTTTCCAGTTTAACATAAAGTACTTTTCTTTTAAAGTTCACACTGGCAACAAGATGAATGAAGTGTCGAGCCAACTAGCATTTGGAAGGAAGAATACAGAAGATCTTAAGAATATAAACAACATGCTATTAAATCATCTAAACCAATCAGGAATTTTGGAGAAGGAAGGAAATCGCTTCACAGGTCAAATGCCATCGTCTCCTTATCTTCGTAACTATTTATTTACCCATTCAAAACTGGAAGCAACAGCACATTAGATCTGTGCAATGAAAACTACTCTCAGTATATTCATTTGCTTTCAACTGTACTCCCATGTAACCAGGTGACTTATTTAACTATTCAGATTTAGCAGGTGCCATAACAATCATTGAAAAGCAACCTGAAGAAAATGGAGCTATTAAAACTGCACAGATTTACATCCTCTATATTTTCTGTTTTGTTCAAGCTTGAATATATGAATGAAACATGTTTAGCTCTGGCCATTTGACTCTGAGATGCTTCACTAAGGCCCCACTCTTGCAAATAGCTCCACATGAGCAAAGTGTCTTGCAGGATCTGGGCCTAAATTTCTAATAACTTCTAAATTAAAAATGGAAACTAGTACCTGAACCTGTTTATATGAGTAAAGTTTTGCAGGTTAGGCTTGGCTCCTGGGATTTATAATGAATTGGGTGTATTGTTAATCGTTTCCCACATGGTCTAAAGGTCAGAGTCCCTAGGTTTTACTACCCACAGAAGAAAATAGCTATTTTTCTATTTCAGGTTGAACCTCTGTAATCCAGATTTCCTTGGTCCGGCAGTGTTGGCAACTGCATGTATACTACAGGGCTGGAGAACTTACAGGGTAAAATAGGTTGGCTGGGGCCAAGAGTGTTGCTGTGCTAGGGAAGAACAGAGCCTGAGGGCCAGCAGCTGGGAATAGAGCCCTGCTGCTCTGGTGCACCAGGGGGTGGAGGCCAGGAGCAAAGTCCTAGAGCCTCAGGGCCAGTTGCTGGAAGTGGAGCCCTACTGGCTGGCTGCTGGGAGGAGAAGGGCCAGCACTGACCCCCCTTGGTCTGGCAAATTTCCTGGTTTGAGCCTGGTCAGGTCCCAAGGGTGCCAGGCCACGGGAGGTTTCACATGTAGAGAACAGTGCAGTTTTCAGTGAGAAGCGTTTCAATGCATATCCTGATCAGTGAGTATTTTTACCATGAACAAGTTCTACATTTGCTTGTATATTGTTTGTATTAAGAAGATGACACGACTTCTAAATATACCTGGTTCTGCCTTGTTGTCTGATGGTTTACTCTTGCATCAATAGAAATATCAATGTGCTGCTTAGTTTAAAATAACAAAATTTTATATTAAAAAAAGTAAATTCTGTAATATGACAAATCCAGGCCAGGCTGGTAATGACTGAAAGTGGCTGTCAGTTGTCAAATGTTTGTGGCTTTATGTGTTAGATCATGTTACTCGGAAATCTGGATCCAAGGCACTTCAATAAGTGCCTGCCTATAACTGTAAACCAATTGTCAATTTGGCTCACTTCAGTGGGTAACCAGACATGGCTTATGATTGAGGAATTGTCTCTGACAATCACTGGACTCTACAGAATGGACCAATTCTGTTAACCTGTGACAGAACGTGGATACGGCCTTCTGTTCAAAGGATTGGCACTCAAGCAGTAATTCTTTGAACACAAATATTTATTTTAAAGGAAATAATTTTAATAATCAAGAAAGAATACATTGTGATACATGATACATAGCATAACACAAATTAGCATAGCATTTAGAAGTCTTGTACTAAGGCAATGCAATAGATTACCCAAAACATATAGCAATACAATGTTGCATGGTATGGTAGACATTGACCCCCCCCCCTTATATATGTTTCAAGCCCCAAATACAATGCTATAATATTGCTTAAATAATATAATAGATATTATGCATAAATATATATTATATATAAATATTAAATATAACAATGCTATAATATTAAACCTATTACAATGTAACACAGAGAAACTGTACATGTGCAAATCAATATTACACCTTTGGGAACATTACTAAATAATAGCATTCAATGAGTAAAAACAATGAGAATTTCTGTGGCACCTTAGGGTATGTCTACACAGCAAAGTTATTTCAAAATAACAGCTATTATTTTGAAACAACTTTACTAGAGTCTACACAGCCAAACCGCTATTTCTAAATTAATTCAAAATAGCAGAGCGCTTATTTTGAATTTGGTAAACCTCATTCCATGAGGAATAATGCCAAATTTGAAATAGCTATTTCGAAATAAGTGCTGTGTAGATGCTTATATCAAAATAGGGGGACTCCAGCCTTTCCAGGGTGCCCTGGTGGCCACTCCAGCCTCAACAAAGAACACTCCTCTACCTCCTCCCCCCTTCCTGGAGCCCTTAAAGGCCGTGTCCAGACTCAGGGTTTTTTTCGGGAAAAGTAGCCTTTTCCCGAAAAAACTGTTCCTCTTTCGAAAGAAGGCGTTCTTCAATGTAAAGAGGCCGTCTTCGAAAGAGAGCATCCAGACTCGCTGGGTGCTCTCTTTTGAAAAAGCGGATTTCTCTTTCGAAAGATCCGCCTGCAGTCTAGACGCGATCTTTTGAAAGAGGCTCTTTCGAAAGATGCTTTCGAAAGAGCCTCTTTCGAAAGAAGCCTGCAGTCTAGACATAGCCAAAGGGGTTGACTCTGGCCACAGTGCCTGTTCCAGCTCCAAGCCTGCCAGCCCAGAGTCACAAGTCACTGCCCCTGACCCAGTGGCCCCAAAACATGAGCCAGCAAGCCACTGGCAGCCAGCCCTCCACCACTCCCCAGGAGCAGTCTGCCAGCTCCCAGGAGCCTGCCAGGGCCTGGAGAAGGTGGGCGCCTTCTTGGTCCGGGGTGGAGATCATGGACCTTATTCAGGTTTGGGGGGGATGCGCCCAACGTCCATGATCTCCTCACTAGATGGAGGAACGCGGCCATATATGACAGGATAGCTGCCAGCTTGGCCACCAAAGGCCACATGCAAACCCAGGAGCAGGTTCACATGAAAATCAAATTGGTCCAGCAAGACCCCCAACCCTGAGCCCTGAGCTTCCCCTCCGCCTTCTTCCCCCTTCCAGCTCCCTCCTCCCAAGTTTTCCCCTACCCTCTTCCACCCTCTCTTCTCCCCCTCCTGCCTCCTTTCCCCAGTCTCACCAGAGTTTCCTTCCCCCCTCCCAGTTTTGTTAAATAAAGAGAGTTTATGTTCATGAAAATACGTGTATTTAATTTGCTATCAGGAAGGAGGGTTATGGAGGGGTAAATGGAAGGACGTGAGGGAGGAATGAGGCACAAGCCCCCAGTGGGGCAGACAAGGGAGGCTCTTAGTGCTCCTCAGGGTGGACACTCTCCCGCAGGGCCTCCTGGATACTGACAGGACCTCCCAGATGGCAGACTGCAGAGAGTGTAGCCAGGCTCACAGCAATGCATCCACAAGAAGCACCAGAGTGCCCAGGAATGATATTCTCCTTCTAAAATCCCTCTGTACCATCTATGGTCCTTCTGCTCTATTTCTCTCCAGTTCTGACGCTGCTCTTCCATTCTCTGCTCACTGCTTTTCTTCTGTGCTTCTCTTGCTTCTTCTACTCCATTCTACTTACACACCCACCCCCAAGCCTGTCATCTCTTTCTTATCTACGATTATTTTTGGCTTCTCTGGCTGCATTCTCAGTTCCAGCTATTAGCTTAGATACTTTCAGTGGGGCAATACCTGCTTAGCCAGTTAGCTTTACCTGTCATTTGAGCTGAAAGTAGTTGAGATCCTTCTCTTGACCTCTCCCTTCAGGTGTTTTGGAGTGAACTCAGTCTAACCCTGCTGAGCTTTATTTCACCCCAGTCCGCTGTCTGCTGTTGGTCAAGTCAGTCTGAGTCCTCCATTTTGATTTTTCTAAAGTAAAATTATTACAGTTACCATTTTAGACTTGTAGATATACCCACACTAATCTGTTGCTATTAATTATTTACCAAAAGCCTTAAGTCTTTAACTAACTACATTTTGATACATGTTTAAGTATTATGATCGCTTCACCACCTTCATTATGATAATTGGGGTAAGGTGAATTTTATGATGTTTTCTGGCCCTTCCAGCAACATGGTTGGGTGCCTTTCTTGGTACTACTGAGTAAGCCTCCTGTATCAATAAGTGAGGGGAGCTTAGTCAGGTTCCTAGGAGACTGTTGGCCACTGCCTAAAGGACATTGTTTTACTGGTATTCGTTACAATTTTAGCAGCAAGACCACGTATTAGTGACTGATTTTATGAGGTGATCTCAAATCAGGGTACATCTACACTACAGAGAAGATCAAAACTGCTGCTGTCTATTCTCCGGGGTTCGAATAAAAGGGTCTAGTTAAGACAGTTAATTCAAACTGAGAGGGACACTCTGGTTTATGCTGGAGTCCTGCTCCTGTGAGGAGTAAGGGAAGTTGAAGAGAGTGTTTTCTCCCTTTGAATTCCTGCAGTGTGGACAGCTCCAATAGTCGAGATAAGGTACTTCGACTTCAGGCACACAATTAACATAACTGAAGCTGTGTATCTTAATTCGACCATGTCCTGTAGTGTAGACATATCCCAAGTGTGCAGCACTTCACAGGATGAACCTGGAGCCTGAAGTTCCCTCTTATCCCAAATGTGGTCTCTGCAGTTTAAGATTGATGTCCATGGATGGCAGAAAGGATGAAAGGAGAGAACTTGCACTGTGGCTACCTTTGTCATATTTGCTCTGTGACTAAATAGTAGATTTCAGCCCACAGGATTTTCAAAATGGCACCTTTCAGATCTTAAGTTTTTAAAAGTTGCATGATATACTTGAAGTGCACAAATAAAAGGCAAGAGAGTATGTTCTGTTGAAGACTTGTTATTGAACGGAACTGGTCACAAAGACCTGCAATTGCATCATAGAAAATGGAAATATCTTAGGCACAAAACTACTTCTATACTTATGTATAATCGCTGTGTATATACATAATAACCTTCACCTGGAGTCAGAGGGGAAGAAAGCCAATACCTTTAACACTAGAAACATAGCCCTACACTACTTGAGCTTTAAGAGTAATTTTTTCTACTAGTTGTGGTAGCGGGCCCTTATCTGCTATGTGGTCTGGCCTCTAGAAGGGGACATCACACAATGTGTCTATGTATGCCATAAACTTTTCTTTATCTCCTATTTCAGTTTTTTTCATTTTAGTTACTTAGTTGAGAACATTCACATGAAAACCTTTATTCTAAAGAGTTCATCAGCTCCTGCTACTAATTCCCCAGCTGGAATCATAATTGTCTCTTTTGGGATACTACAGTGAGTTGCTGTGATTATTTATAATGTCAACAACAAATGATTATAATAGCAAGTGACAAATAAACTGAGAGACAAAATGAATCCTAAAACAATAATCTTCTGTTTCTGTAAATGTCTTTAGCGATAAAAGATTTAGGAGAAACTTTCCCCATGTACTGAAAACATGACATTCACAAAGAGTTGTTTCAAATCTGCCCCAGAGCTGTTGCTTTTCAATGACAACATGAAGTTCTCACGCAATCTCTCCCACTCATATTCTTGTTACCATAACTGTGTTCTGGTTCTTTCTGACACACATCCATTCTTGTAAGCCAGTGGGAAAAATTCTAGTATTTGGCATTCCCGAACATGTAGATTTGTGAAACCCCTATGAGTGCTGCAGTTATCAGAACAGCCTGTGGTTTTACATGAAACTAACACTTCTAACCTATAGATTTTTCTGGCAGGAGAGAACATAAATCACATCTGTTTTATCAACAAGAATCCCCAAGGAAATAAACACTTCATTATCTCTGTGATCTAGGTCTCAGATACTGCTCATTTGGTAACTAAATCATAGTCCAGAATACAACCACCTACTACAGCCTTTCAGAGGTAGATTAAATATGTTGCTGTTTTCTCTATCTTGCAAAATATTGAACAACTGCAACTTCTATTGACTTATCTCTCAACACTATTTAGGATTTAGCCCTAAATCACTCCTTTTGTAGAAATGAAGGCTGGTAGGGATTTTGAGAGGTAATCTAGTTCAGCCCACTGTGCTGAGACAGGACCAAATATACCTAGACCAGTCTTAACAGGTGTTTGTTTAATCTGTTCTTAAAAGTCAAAAGATAAGGATTCTACAACCTCTCTTTGAAGCCTATTTTAGCTTTTAACTACCCTTATAATTAGAAAGATTTTCTGAATATCTTACCTGACTCTCCTCTTCTGCATACTGAGACAATTATTTCTTGTCCTACCTGGGCTATGTCTAGACTGCAAGCCTCTTTCGAAAGAGGCTCTTTCGAAAGATACTTTCAAAAAAGCCTCTTTCGAAAGAGAGCGTCTAGACTGCACGCGGAACTTTCGAAAGAGCAAGCCGCTTTTTCGAAAGAAAGCACCCAGTGAGTCTGGATGCTCTCTTTCGAAGAAGCCCTATTTACATTCAAGAACGCCTTCTTTCGAAAGAAGCACTTTCGAAAGAAGGCGTTCTTCCTCGTGAAATGAGGTTTACCGCCATCGAAAGAAAAGCCGCGTTCTTTCGATTTAATTTCGAAAGAACGCGGCTGCAGTCTAGACGCAGGTGAAGTTTCCCGAAAAAAACCCTGAGTCTGGACACAGCCATGGAGAACAATTTTGTGTTTTGCCATATTAGCTTTCTAGCAGATGTCTTGGTAGTTAAACTCCCCAATACTACCAGGTCTTGTGTTTTGGATATTCTGTTCTTTGTTCTAAAAATATCTCCTCCACTGCCTCCTCCTGATTTGGTGTCCTTTTAACATAAGAATGGTCATACTGAGTCAGACCAAAGGTCCATCCAGCCCAGTACCCTGTCTGCTGACAATGGCCAAAGCCAGGTGTTCCAGAGGGAGTGAACCGAACAGGCAATGATCAAACGATCTCTCTCCTGCCATCCATCTCCACTCTCTGACAAACAGAGGCTAGGGACACCATTCCTTACCCATACTGGCTAATAGCCATTTATGGGCCTAACCTCCATGAATTTATCTAGTTCTCTTTTGTACCCTGTTATAGTCCTAGACTTCACAAGCTCCTAAGACAAGGAGTTCCACAGATTGGCTATGCCCTGTGTG